TGAAGAGCTTCAGGGTATTCTATAGACCCCTTTATAGACATCAGTAATGTCATTTGCAAACTCCCTGAGGAACAAGAGCAGTGACTGTAGAAGTCCCAGGGGACCTTGTGACTTTGTCCCCACCTGATGTTTTCCTCGTACCCTCCTGGAAGAAGGATGTTTAATGAAGGCTGACTAACATCCTCTTAGCAGTGGCTTTTCACATCCATGTTGGCACTCTGTTGCCCACCATATTTTAGAACCAAAAAATTATCTAAAAATTAGTGTTTTCAGGAAACTTAAAGAACATTCATCCAGCATGATCATTTTACAGACATGACAGCTAAGGCTTAATTGAATTGCATAAGTCATCTGGATAGTGGCCAAGGCAGGATTCTAACTCAATGTCCAGTTTCCAAACTAGGATTATTTAGAATTCATTCACCTTTTCATTTAATTTAATGACTAATGTATGAAACACTACAAGGTAGACTATTCAGGTGGGAAAAAAAATACGAAAGCATAGTTGCAGTTTACTCTGGCTTTAAGGGTATCCACAGAGTGAGTTGAAAGCTGCCTATGATTCGTGCTAAATGAGTTCTTGTATGATAGAAGACCCACCTCTGATGCTTTCTTGATGTAAACAAAGTGTTTGTAGCCTTCTGCTTCAAGCTTGCTTTTCGGCTTGATTCACTGTGGCATCAGCAATAGATGGTCAAGTTTAGCAATTCTAACACAGTTCTCTCCAACTTACAGTACAAGGAGTTTTCCTTGGGGCACAGAGCAGAAAAACTTTCTTCCAAAAAGCCTCATTTTTACAACTAGAATCTCAGTTTTTCTGATTCATGAAAATAAGTGTCAAGTGCCACAACCAAATTGTCACATAGCAGCTTTCTGGGTCTCTCCTTAATGAAAAAAATAAATAAATAAATTCAGGTAAGATATTTATTTGATTCATAGTCTAAACTGATGTGCTTCTAAACTGACAGAAACTAGAAATTAACCTTTTGCCTTCAAGAGTTAAAAATCAAATCTTTCCGATGTAGGCCCCAGAACTAGATCACTCCCTAAAGTAAGTTGTATCTTAAGTGAGCTTTTTTGTATATCAATCACTTGCTTTGGGAGCAATTAAGGTTACAAAAAATAAGGGGAGCACATTGCTTTCTCTACTTCAATTCAGTAAGAACTGTTTATACTGCAGTAATCTGATTTTTATTATAACAGCAACCACAAATAGAAGAGTTAGAGCTGAGATTTCTTGGATGCTCACTACCATGACAAGCACATATTAACTCATTCAGCCTTGATAACAACCGGAAGGCAATATCATCATCCCATTTGACAAGGAAGAAAACACGGAGAAGTTAAGGAGCTTTTCCAAGTGGTAAAATTGAGATTTGAATCTAGCACAAGCTCTCTTTACATGATTATGTTAAATTATGTTAAATAAATTTCCACTAAAAAGTTATTTCCTAGATGAAGTTTGAAACTTTAGCAATGACAATAGAGCAATAGCATCGGAAGGGAATTTCAGATACTCTGTTTGTTTGTAAACGGAATGGTTGTGGAGTATGTCATCTTGGTATTCATACTCCCGGAGCCAAAGTCTCTGGAGATCATCAGGATGAGTTCAGTCCGTTACCCCAGATGTGTGGGGCTAGGGTCCTTGAGGAGTAGGAATTTCCATAAAAGGCTGTTCCTGAAGGACTGGCCATCTGCAATCCCACTGGGCATGTATGGGGATCCCACCCCTTACCTCAGTGACAATTTCTCAGCTCCAGGCTGGGTTTCACTATGACAGTCACAGGTCTGCAGTTATAACATGCGGCACTGATTTCTCCTTCACACGGAGAGCTCTAAATCCCCTAAATCCCCTCGATCCTCCAGACAGCACATGCTTCACTCCAGTAGGATTCATCCTTCCACGAACTTCGGTGTGGCCTGGCTAGGCCACGAAGGAACCACTGGAGTGATGGATCTCAGCAACTGAGAGAAACCTTAGAGACCTTTTAGTTCAGTACCTTTATCTTACAGAGAAGGGACCTGAAGTCCACAGAAATTAACAGCCAGACAGGTCTACCCAGCAGAAACGGGACCAGACCCCTTATCTTCTGACTCCTAGTACTTTTTGCCTTGCAACATACTACCACTCTGAGGCCTTCACATTGCCCCAAAGATACTCGTTAATTAATTTATGAAAGAATGAAATTAATAAATTCTGCAACAATTCACCTGGAGGCAATACTAATACTTTCGACCTATTATAATTTTCTTTTTCTACTTGCAATTTCTAACTACTCGAAATAAGTGACCACTGGCTAAACATTCTCAGATGCTTCATGCCATGCAAAGACTTTTATCAGAATTGGGTATGCTAACATAGAATTTGTCTCAATTGTGTGATTAATGTGCCTCATTTACTTCTGGGAACTAAACCTTTGTTAGTAATATTGATTGAATATTTATACGTGCCAGGATCTTCAAGTAATAAGAGTAACCAGAGAGTAACTAGCTAATTTCAAGCTGTTTTCTTATTTGGCTTTGCAATTTAAAACATAACAATTTTTTAAAAATTAAGATGAAATATTAAATTAAAAATTTCATCATGACCAAATATTAAAACATGTAAACACAGACAGTATCATGCTATAGAAGTTTAAGGTCCACAAATTTCAATATCTTTTCTTCAGGACATCTTTCCTCCCAAAAAAAGACATAACATTTTCTCCCACTAGAGATACGCATAGATTAGATTGGGATTTCCATGTGAGGACTGCTGGTGGCTCTGAGTTTTGATTTTTCAGGAACTTAGGCATTCCACACAATGAATATCATTTGGGAAAAAAATAACTATTCCCAAGCAAACACAAAACTACACTCTTCCATCCGCCAAGAAACTATCGTAAGTACACAATACGAAGGAAAATTATCTTCTAGTAGGATGTGACTGAGGTGTCCATCTTGATAATTTTATATAGATCAGGTTGTGAACAATTCAAAAGTAGAATGATCTACATTGATTCTTTATACATGTAGGAAAATCCTCAAAATGGAACGTCAGCATCCCAAGGAAAAATCCTAAGAGAGTAACTAAAATATAGGCATAAAGAAATATTTATTATATTGGAGTACAGAATAGAGCTAAATTTATAAAATTTTCAAAACTTACTTCTAAACTGGCTTAGTATAAAATGTTTTGCCTTTCTTTAAATTTCTTGGCAAAGCTTATGAACAGAATGATTCATCATATTATTACCTTCATTTCATCAAGATATTCAAGTCACTGAATACTTAAACATTAAATGTACAAACATCACCCCCACTTATGACCAGCATTTGCCTCTCCTGTGGAAGAAAGATGGAGAGAACCATTTCAAACAACTGAAATTTTCTTAATTTGATGCTAATAATAAAAATAAATATATCTTCTAATTAAACTGTAACAGTGGTTTGAAATCTTTTCGAAATAAACAATTTCTGGAAATCATATTCGTTTTTCAAAAATGACCATCACAGTTCAAGTAGGCTTGTTCTGTTAACTCAGCATCTACCCATCACCAAAGTGGTCATGGGGAAAGTAACATTCAGTCAATAAATTGCATATTTTGCCTAAATGTTACCAAATATCTATTTATTTAGTAACACCTGGAGACAGATGTGGAAAACCATTACATTCTTTCTTCATTAATACATTTTGATAGATACAGCAATATTAAGATTTCCTTTGCTTTCATGTGTATATAGACACACACACACAGAGCAACGGGAGATCAGCTTTTCTAACAAATATTTAAAAAACAAAGTTACAGTGAATGTTCCATGTCTTGCAGGAACATTACTCGCTGTGATCTAATGATGGAGGAAACAATCTGATGATAACTGTTTACAGGGGCTCGCCACTTGGTATCAATTACTCAGTTATTAGACATTCACTGAGGCCTTCTGGGAGGCTTTGCCCTTCCTCAGAGAGATCCAGTCTAATTACAGAGACAGGAAAGGGACCTATCAAATTTAAACCAACAGTACTAAACCTTACGCCATCCAAATATCAACGCAAAATTAGAAGCACAGAAGATAACACGCCGCAGGAGTTTAGAGGCACAAGCTCTCCTTGTGGACTCATGTGGTCCCTGAGGGCCGCACAGAGATGAGGCTTCGAGCCAATCTCAGTAAATGGGAGATCTGAGTCATGGAATGACTGCCTTTATACTTATGGCCCATGTGCCTTAGAAAAATAGTTTTAAAGCTTCCAGTCCTAAACCCTACTATCCTCTTGCTTTTCTAGAATCTTTCTTTTTTTTTAATACTAATGAATCCAAGAAATAACATCAATTCTTAAATTAACAATGATTATAATTATTTCTGGATTGGAACCAATGACTTTAGAAACATATTTTGAGTTAAAAACATCATGAAAACATATACACACCCATACATACAAATCTTAGATACGATCAGAAGCACCTTGGACTATTCTCCTTAAGCCAGAACCACCAGTAATCCTTCTCTTTCTTTCTGAGAAATTGCATAAATAAAAATAGGAAATAAATCGACTTCTTTACAGAGATAATGGCTCACACTTAAAGCATACCCTAAAGAATCTCTCCTGAAGACTAATGCAACCAGCGCGTATCTGTAAATATAAATTGCAGAGAACAGAATCCTCAAGTGAGAAATTATTTCTTTCGCGTTATCTTCTAGTTTCAGGCACCGGCTTTATATAACGATTGGAACTCCTGAAGTCCCTATTTGGTTATTTGTAAGAACACTCTACTTTATTGCAAAAGTTAGCGTATATAGCTTTGTTAGGGAACGGGCTATATATTTAATGTCCATTCAATGTTTTGGGAATCATCAATTGCTTGCTCTTGTTTGGTGTGGGAGTCATGTTTTGTTAAGTGCATCACAGCCAAGTTAAAGAGCAGATGTGTGGTTTGGTCTTTGTCCATATAATTTTCTGTTTAGACCAATTAACATTGTAGCTGAAAATAACATACCCTGATTTTTCCTGATGCATGCAGATCCTCCAAAGTTTAATAGGATATGGCCGAATATTTCTTCCCTTGAGGTTTCTAACCCAAAACAAGGTAGGAGCATGTAAAATTCCTACTGATATAAAATCCCACATGTTTAGGAAAAAAATCCCATATTCTAATTTTTAGCAGTAAATAAGAGCATTATCATGAGCACCATGTCTTTGAAAGAATCATAATTCAAATATTTTTTCTAATATCAAGAGTGCCCCAGCAATATTATAGTGAAAGATGTAGGAAAAAATTAGATGGCATAGAAGTTGTAAGCACTTTATCAAATTTACCCTGAATGTCCGTCTGTCCCAAGAGAAGCCTAGAGTTCAGTTGCCATCACCATGGGGAGTACAAATAATGAAAACCTGTGAGCAGCACAGGTGTCCTTCCACTGTCTCCCTTTTGCTTTTCTTAAGTAAACTGACTGGTTCATCGGTAGGATTGGGGGTCAGGGAAAATACATAAACACAGTAATGCAACCGCGAAGAGACCTGTTTTTGTTTAACTGTTGCTCCACATTGACGGACAGGATTTGGTGCTCTCACTCTCTCTCCCTCCCTCTCTGTCTTCCACATTGCAGTAAATTTTCTCTGTTGAGACTTTCCCTCTTTTAATCCTTTATGAATTAACAATCGTTTCTGCCAGGATTAAGAACAACCTGTTTTCTGGCTGTTCTTAGAACAACAATTATTTTCTGACGTCTAACATCATAGATAGATAGATAGATAGATAGATAGATAGATAGATAGATAGATAGATAGATACTGATGTGTAATTGCACAGGAAGAAACACAACCTTTAAAAACCGGGCAATAAAGTTCATAGGATCCAGTGTAATGTTAAAATTACACTAACATCTAGCCTATAGATATACATAGACATATATAAATAGTTTATGTTAATAGAAAATTGTTTTCTTTTGCATTCTTCCTTCTCAAAAAAAAAAGGGTACATCTTTGGCTTCCACCTTCCTTTGCTATCTACAGGATGTTCCTTTCAAGCTCTAATGAATACAGATGGAGGAGGAAATGAGCAAAAGGAGGAACCAGGAAATAGCTGCTAAGCAAAACAAAATATATTAGCAATTTGTTGACGAGTCAAATTGGAAGGGCTGCATTTTCAGTCCTTGATCAGAGTGATGAAATCAGGCTGTCCTAGATACATACATTACTAGCAAATAGAATTACCTTAATCATCCGCTCCAGATGAATTTTTCAAGTTTCTGCATACGTATGTGGAAGAAGAGATACAGATGAAGCCCACCCCTATTATTAGTATAATTCTGGGAGGACTTGGAGCTGGGGGTTAGTGGCTTTATTCCATGGCAACTTCAATGAGAGCATCCTCAGTGAAATGTCACTCAGTATTTCCCATTGAATTTCACAAATTATACAAGACAAGGTCTAAGATTTTACACTTCTTCACAGTAAGTTTTGTGCTGAACAAGGTTATGCATTGTTCAAAACCTGAAACAGACCCATTTAATTATTTTGCTATGCTTTCTGTAAGTGTCACAGGACTAAAAGTTTTCAGAAACATCTTTAGTTAATGCCAGTTGCACTTTTTAAGAATGTGGATAATGAATCCAAATAAATTTATTTGAGAAGCAGCACAGTTGAGTAAAGTGCTTGAACTTGACTTTTCAGCTAAAGGTGCACTTTCTAGCGAAGGCCAGTTCTGTGCAGGCATAATTTATCTGGTCAACATCTGCAAAGAACATTAGTCTCTATCCTGTTTTTTGCTATTGTTATGAGCAAGTCTTCATGAATAATTGGAAAAGAAAAGCTGGCTAACTTAGAAATCCCTGCCATTAACAAACTGATACCGTAAAAGTAATAACTATTGAGAAAAAGACTACACATTTGAAAGGAAGACAGATTCAAGGTGACTCTGAGACTGAGGGCCAGATTTTGCTGAATGGTTGACTGTGTTCTGTGATGTCTAATCAATTCAACAAGAATAATCTTACTGCTTTATACGTAGATGAGCTTATGGTTACATAGAGAGAAAGACGTGGTGAATTGAGGCAATGATACTGCTAATTAAGTCAACAACACAACTAATATTTTAAGAGAGGGACAAAAGAGGATCCTAAAATCCATATTGTTATTGGAATAACCCTTGTGTAACTGCATTCTAGACTTAGATGGTAATTCTTTTTGCCCCTGAAAATAAAGCTCCTAAACTTTATTACACAACGGAGAACCATTTTCAGCAAACTACAAAACTTCCTTTGTGATTGAAACAAACTCCCAGAAACAACATATACAAATACTCTTTTCATTTAGGGCTGCTTTTCAAGTGGGTTGATGATAAGTTGTTACAATTTGAACCTTTCACTATTGTTTCTAATATGCTGTTCATTCTTTTAAACCTATCCAGTTGCTCCCAAATTAGCTTTGTCAACAGTTTCTTCTGTTCAAGTTGCAAACCACAAGAGAGGTAGGAATTCTTGGATTCATACAGTGATTTCATGGTGTTATGTGTTGTGAAACATTGCACTGTATGAATCTGGAATATCTGTGAAGTGTACCCATCAGCTTATTGGTGAGGCATGTTGACTGGTAATGATCAATGCATTGCATAGTACTGAGAATGTCATCTGTAAGAGAGAGGGAAAAAGCTTCACTCAGAAATTTGCTGCAAAGTTAAAATGCTGCAGTATTTGTTTTCTGAAAGATTAATGTGTGAATAAGAATTGTAACACTTTAGTTTCCTGTTTAGAACATGAATGTTAGAGTATTAACATTGTTAACTCATTTGCATTAAAAATAAGGAAACCCGCTTACAGTGAGTTTCCAGGATGCTTTTCATGAGAACAGAATGGCAGGTTCCATGTATGGTGTTCATTGGACTTTGTGGCAAATTAAATATCTTGGAGTTTCTACTTCCACACATTGTCTGGAATGAATTTGAACAAATACCAGTGAAAAGCTACACTGGGTTAAGTGTTGATCATGACCCAGAAATAATAGTTACATTGCTTTCTTTAACTGAAAGCAAGTGGAATCTCATCTGTGACTCATGAATGGCTCGTTCCAGCTAACATCTGTCATCCACAGACTGAAGTTTTTTCAGGAAACATAAAGACTCCTGTTTTTATTTCACCATTTTCTTTTGAATGTCCTATGTGACAAGTGTGTATTGTTTTTCCACCCTTGACTGTCGGGTATACGTCATGTTGGGGGGTTTTGTTTGTTTTTGGGTTTTGGTTTTTCATGAAACACTTCTTACAAAGATATATATATTTATTAACAATATCTGAATTTGGTTTGACCCACTTGGTGAAAATGACCATAATAGTGTCTCTGTTCCTTATTGAAAAGAGTCAACTCATTCTCCAGAGTTTAATCAACTTGAATTGGTCCTTCTGGGATACACAGAGACAAGGAGGAATGTGATCAGAAGGTGGGAAAAGGAAACCGATAGTATTTAAACCATGTCTTAAACTTTCCTCACAATGTGCTTTTATGTGTTTGGCGGTGCCCTTTTCAGAGGAATCCAAATGGATTTGAAATTGGGGGAAGTAAGTTCTTTGGGAACATAGCAGCCCCAGGTTCATAGGGTGTCAGGCCTATCAGAGCACGTGTGCAAATCGCAAGGTAGTCACTGGAGCCACAGTAGGGATGTGGCTCCTTATCTATGATGTGAATCTACACAAAGCAACCAAGGAGGCGAAGGAGAAAGGAAGCATTTGGGACCCTTATAAAGTCCGTTTCTTTTATGTCATGTCAAGCACTGGGTATACAAGAGGCCTCTGGACCTAAAGTTTCACCCTGCGTCATTGAATCTCAAGTTTCTTGGGGTCACAGCACTAATGAAGTCTGAACACATCTCCAGAGTCAGGGAGAAGCCACCTAATGAAGCAGACTTTTCATAGAAAAATCCATGAGTAATAGTTATCAAATGATGTATCTGGAAGAACTCCAAAAGGTACAAAAAGTTGCAGGACAGGGTGGGGAGTAGGGTAGGAACCAGGAAAATGCTGCGGCCACGTCATT